GAGCAAGGTTGTGACTTGGCTTGGCATGAAGCGTGACATTTTTCGCTATTGCCGTTCCTGCCACGTCTGTCAAACGGTGAAATCAAGGGGTGGCAAGCCGCCCGGCTTGATGAAACCGATTGTCAGTGAGCGTCCGTGGCAAGTAGCCACCTGCGATCTAATGGGGCCATTTCCCAGGAGTAAGCAGGGGTTCATACATCTGATGGTAGTTGTTGATCATTTTTCCAAATGGGTGGAGCTGTTTCCGCTGCGGAAAGTGACAGCGCGAGCGGTGCTAGAGAGGCTACAGGAAGTGTTTTGTCGGTTCGGCTTTCCGAAAAGATTCATCACGGACAATGCGTCGTATTTCACCGCTCGGGTGTTTGGTGATACGTGCCGTTCCCTAGGAATAGATCACTGCACCACTTCGCCCTGCCATCCTCAGTCCAATTTGACGGAGCGAACCAATCGTACGCTCAAACCGATGTTGGCGGCCTTTGCCGAAAGTCAAAGGGACTGGGCAGACCATTTGAGTGAACTCGCGTTTGCAATCTGAACCTCCGAGAGTCGCTCTACTGGTTTCTCTCCCGCCTTCCTTAATTTCGGAAGGGAGTTGGCAAATCCGGTGACCAGTGTCATGCAATGCCAGCTCGGAGACGAGGAAGAACCGGCAGGCTGTTCTGCTTACGCTTCCACACTTCGGGACAGGCTTTGTCGAGCTCTCAGTAGAGCGAGGCAGAGTTTGGCATCGGCCAGGGCCGAACAAAAGGCCCAGTACGACCGAAAACGTCGCCACCTTTCATTTAAGATGGGTGACCTCGTCCTGAAGCGCAACCACGCTCTTAGCGACGCGAGCAAGGGTTTCTCAACTTCGCTCGCTCCAAAGTGGCTTGGTCCGTACCGAGTGGAGAAAGCTTGGACTCCACTCGCGTACTTGCTGAAAGACCCGCTTTCGGGAAAACTCAGCCATGCCCATATCGCAGACCTGAAAGCCTTTGCGTCGAGGTCTGACGAGCCTGCGCCAGCGCCCAGTGGCTCTTCACACAAGCAACGGCGCACACCCGGCGCGGCGGACTGCATTCGGACCACGCACCGGTATAATCTGAGGAAGCGGTCACCTTAGTGATTTCGCGCCGGACGACGGGCTTATTTCCGCAACCGAAGGCCCTCATTTTTACTTTCTAGTCTCAGTTAGCTAACTTCTTTACAGCCAGTGCTTGCAAAGAAGTCTGTTCCGCCCAGTTACTGCTGCTGATCGTCATTTGAGTGTTGTTTACTTGTTTTTTTTTCGTGTTTTCTTTTTTTTTTCTTCTCGCTGGAGGAGGGGATTGTGAATTGGTGCTTTAGCGTGGGGAGAGGGACAAATGACACTCTGCGCTTCCCTTGCGGTGCGCGTTTGGAGAGACCCGACCATCGGAGGTGTGTGTGTGCGTGTGGCGACAGCTTAGGAAGTCACCGACCCCTACACCACTTTGGACTCTGGAGGTGTTCGGAGACTTGCACGAGGCCAGCTGTTGCAGACGCTGTGCACGACTCGACCGACGCCGCAGGACGCCTTGCAGCCAATGGATTTGGCGACCATTATTCCAGCAGAAGGGCCGGCTGTCGCAGCGAGGTCCATCCGAACCTCCACAGAGGCGGCGTTCGTCGGACTCGCAGGGCTGTCGTCCACATCGACGAGACGAAGGTGAGCCCGTTCCTCGCATGAAGGCCTCAACCAGAACCCTCCCCTCGAACTCTTGCATCCACGCAGTCACCCAAGTCAAACATTACGTGACGCTGCCCCTCCGAGCCGTGAACCCGCTCTTGCGTGAGCATCATGAACTCCCGTTACCCCTCTTCCGCGGAGCCATTGTATTTGTCAAGTGTATTCTTGTGCTATTTTATTTTTTTTTCTTCAGCAGCAGCTGCAGAGCGAGGCTGAGGCTAGCTGTAGCCCATTGCATGACACCTTTGCATGCATGGGCGACGACCGGCTTCCTTTGCAGACCGGTATATAGGGTGAATTAGGGAGAGGAGGATGTGGAGATCTGAGGCGCGCCTGCGACCATTTCGCGGGCATTCCGCCACACGGCCACACCCTTTTGCTTTCCCGCTCTGTTAACACCACGTGGCTCGCTAAGCGTGAACCCGCGGTGATCGTCCGCTGCAGTTATAGCGGGGGTCACCCATAAATTCAATGTCGCCTGACAAAGCTAGCAATTGCTTAATGACATGCGCGCAATCAAGCACGACATTGAAACAACACTGTGGGCTTGGCAACACCAGGAGGGCCGCGTAACGAGTACGACGTGCATACAGAGAGTATCGATTATTTACCTGCAGGACAAAAAGGCGTTGCAGGTAAGAGGCCGTGGCCATAGCTGTGGTGTTGCCAAGCCCATTGAAGGCTGCGTTGGCCGAGTTCGAGCTTATGTAGTCCGAGGCAAGAAGGATGTTATCCGAAGATTAGCAATCCCTGTAATCACTTGGTCCGGTAGCGGCGGCCGAGGCATTGGTACCCACTCTCCGCGCGGGGGTGCAGAAGGCGATTGTGGCAGTCGTAGTTGCACAGGCCGAATGAGTGGGTCCGGGTAGCGGTCAACGTTCAGCCATGCCGGGGACCATGACGCCTCCGGGAAGTCACCAAAGGCACCGAAGCGCGCGCCGTCAGACCGCGAGCCGCAGAGCGACACGAAAGCATGCAGGACAAAAAGGCGTTTCAGGTAAGAGGCTGTGGCCATAGCTGTGGTGTTGCCAAGCCCATTGAAGGCTGCGTTGGGCGAGTTCGAGCTTATGTAGTCCGGGGGCAAGGAGGATGTTATCCGAAGATTAGCAATCCCTGTAATCATTTGGTCCGGTAGCGGCGGTCGATGCATTAGTACGCACTTTCTGCGCGGGGGCGCAGAAGGCGATTGTGGCAGTCGTAGTTGCACAGGCCGAAGGGGTGGGTCCGGGTAGCGGTCAACGTTCAGCCATGCCGGGGACCATGACGCCTCCGGGAAGTCACCAAAGGCAGCGAAGCGCGCGCCGTCGGACCGCAGGCTGCACAGCGACACGAAAGCTTGCAGGACAAAAAGGCGTTGCAGGTAAGAGGCCGTGGCCATAGCTGTGGTGTTGCCAAGCCCATAGCTTCACCGTCATGCTGGCATGCACGGCAGATGGTAGAAAGCTTTCACCCTTCGTAATTTTGAAACGCAAGACAATGCCGAAGGAAGTGTTCCCGCTCGGTGCAGTTCGCGTGAACAAACAGGGATACATGGACGAGGCCATGATGCTCGAATGGATAAGAGTGGTGTAGAACCGTCGGCCAGGTGCACTGCTGCGTCTTCGCAGCACGCTGGTGTTGGATGCGTTTCGTGGCCACTTAACCGACGCAGTGAAACACGCACTCGGCGACGGAAAAACGGACCTCGCCGTGATACCAAGTGGTATGACGTCCACCCTCCAGCCGCTCGACGTTGTCCTAAACAAGCCGTTCAAGGACTGAGTGCAGCTGGAATACCAAGACTTGATGTCCGGCGACAACCCCAAGACACCGACGGGCCGCCTACAGAGGCCTCCGCTTGCGACTGTTTGTGGCTGGGTGCTTTCCGCCTGGCGTTCCTTGCCGGATTTCATGATGGAAAATGTTTTTAAGAAATGTTGCATCAGCAACTTGCTGCATGGCACTGAAGACGACGCACTGTGGGAGGCGGCCAGCGACAAACTCTTGTCTTCAGACGACAGTGGTGCTTCATCGGACGAATAGGAGCAGTTGCGATGGTGGTTGAGGGGAGCTCCGACGATCGGGGTGCGGTGTGCCCAAATCGCAAATAAATGTGGTTTGGGAGTTTTGGGTTGTTTCCTTTTTTTTGTTTTTTGGTAACCTGAATTTGGGGGGTCGACCTATATTCTCACTCGATCTATAGTCCGGTTTATACGGTAACCGCGGAGCCGAACCACAACATTGAAGTAACTAGAACAATAAGAATGGGGTGGAGCACATTTGGCAAGCACTCTCAAATCATGACGGGTAGATTTCCACTATCCTTCAAGAGGAAGGTATATAACAGCTGCATCTTGCCAGTACTTAGCTATGGAGCAGAAACCTGGAGACTTACAAAGACGGTTCAGCTTAAATTGAGGACGACGCAGCGAGCAATGGAAAGAAAAATAGTAGGTGTAACCTTAAGAGACAAGAAGAGAGCAGAGTGGATTAGGGAACAAACGGGGGTTAAGGATATAATAGGTGAAATCAAGAAGAGGAAATGGACATGAGCCAGGCATGCAGCGCATAGACAGGACAACCGCTGGTCATTAAGGGTAACTAACTAGATTCCCAGTGAAGGCAAGCGGGTTAGGGGGAGACAGAAGGTTAGGTGGGCAGATGAGATTAAGAAGCTTGCGGGTATAAATTGGCAGCAGCAAGCACAGGACCGAGTTGACTGGCGGAACATGGAAGAGGCTTTTGTCCTGCAGTGGACGTAGTCAGGCTGATGATGATGATGATGTTTGGTTTGGTCCGACAGCGTCTGCTGTCCCTGTGTGTTCTGAGAGCGGGGCGCTCCATTTCCGTTGCGCGGGAACACACAGAGGAAGCACAAGTTGTTTGTTTCTTCCTCTGCCCATGTTTCTATCTTTTCGGATGAACAGTATAATATTTCAACTTTGGTTTCTCTTGATTTCAAACAAAATTTTGCCAGCTGTTAATTCAGACAGAGGATTTGAGCGCAGCATGTATTTTAGTTTACAAGCGTTATTTAAGCAAATTAGATAAATCATAAGTAAATGAGTGATCATGTTACCTTAAAGTAATGAAAAAAACATGAAAAAGTCCTGCAAAGTATCAACTTTCAAGTAGTTACATGGGCACAAATGCCAGTTTATTTTCAAGGAGCCCGTACTGACAAGTAACAAAGCAAGGATGTTTAGGAATGTCGGGTCGCATGAGGTGCACGACTTTTAATCATTAAACTATATCAACTACATGCGACACCCCATTCATCTGCCTGTGATGTAGATGACAGTGTTCGTGAAACTACCAAACATTCTATGCTCACCAAATCCATGCGAATGCCCATGCCCATTTCCATGCGAGTGTGCATCGCCATGCGCATGATTGTGGCTGTGTTCATGGCTGTGGCTGTGGCTGGGCCCGTGGCTATGGCCATGGCTGTGGGAATGCCCGTGACCCTCACCTGCAATAAAGAGGTTAGACAACAAGGCCTTATTACCATAATCTGATAAAGGTGAGCAGGTATTTGGATACCCAGACAAGTTGTAATCACTGCAATTGCATAAACAATAAGCCAGCTACCCAACAGGACACAGGTATGGCCAAAGTCGCCATAGCTTTGCCTCTGTGCCAAAGACTGCCCCTGTACTTGATTAATTTGTGGGGTTTAACGTCCCAAAACCACTATATGATTATGAGAGACGCCGTAGTGGAGGGCTCCAGAAATTTCGACCACCTGGGGTTCTTTAACGTGCACCCAAATCCGAGTACACGGGCCTACAACATTTCTGCCTCCATCGGAAATGCCCGGTAGTCAGCTGCAAGGAAAATTAATTTATGAGATGGCTATCTAAACTGGTAGGTACGAGTGCGACAGCACCATTGCTACGATACTACACAAAGGTAGAATCTGACAGCAATGAAAATTTCCGCACATAACCTCAACCACACTTAACGTCAATAACTTTAGTAAAATGAAGCTCCAGTTTTGTTGTGAGAAAAACATTACACTGAACATGTTTAGTGAGCAAGTACACAAGAAAAACAGGCAACAGCGGCGGTGGTATTCTAGGGTGACCGCCTACGATATATTTTGCAAGACTCAATAATGCAAGCAAGCGTGGGTCTTGGCACACCAGCGAAAGCAGTGTCCGTAGGTATGTGGATTCCCCCAATACAAGTAACCCTATAGGAGGGTAAATCCTCAGATATTCTATAGGAATCACCCATAAATACCTCATCCTAATGATATAAATTTTGTGTCTTGTGTCTCAAAATAACATGATTACCGTATTTACTTGATTCTACCGCGCCCTACATTGTAACGCACACCCGGTTTCCACGACGAGAAAAAAAAGTAAGACATTGATTGTAACGCGCACTCATTTTCCGCGACGGAAGAGAAAAGAAAAAAAAAAGTCCGTAGGAGTCAACCTTTCCACATTGAGAACATGTATTTGGGTTTTGATGCACTGAAGTTTCGAAAGATAAAACACGAAGTCAAACAGCCGGCCCAGCAGCTAAAATTGTGACCACTACGGCGGTGTTACATGTCGCGTAATAGGTCAGTCCTCGTCGCTGTCGGACAACTCCTTATTGCTGTCAACGGCCAAAAGCATCTCATCCTCGGTACCGTCCATGGCATTCGAGATGCCACACTTCTTGAATGCCTTGATGACCATGGCTGATGGCATTGCACACCACGCGTCCTTCACCGAAGCAGCGAAGTCTTGCAGAGAGGCGCGCTTCATCCTGTTGCCTGGCGCGAAATCATGTCGTCCATTGATCAGCCAGTCGGTGCAAAGCGCCCGAATCTTCTCCTTCACCGGCTTGTTAAGGTAGACATCTAGCGGTTGAAGTTGTGACGTCATGCCGTCAGGTATGACTACAAGGTCCGTATTACACGCAGCGAGCTAGTCCTTGATCCGCTGGTCGAGATGGCACCTGAACGCGTAGAACACGAGCATCGCTCGCAAGCCCAAACCGGCGCCAAGCTGCTTCCGCCAGACGTGATGGATCCAATTGGCGACCAGATTCGTCGTCATCCAACCTTTCTCGTTGGCCTGCACGATCACACCACTTGGAAAAACGACTCCTTTCGGGAGCGTCTTCCGTTTAAATATCAGGTACGGGGGAAGCTTATGCCCATCTGACGTGCAACAGAGCATTGCCGTCACTCTAGTTCTTTCGTGGCCTGATGTCAGCACGCGAACTTGCTTCACCCCCTTCTTCTCGACGGTTGTGGTGCCAGGCATGTCGAAGTAAAGAGGCGACTGATCGGCATTCCCGATTCGCCCAAGCAGGTAGCCGTTGTTGTGCCGCAAGTTTAGGACGAACCTCTGAAAACTGTGAAGCTTTTCTTCGTACTCCACCGGCAACTTTTGGCATATGCTCGTTCGCGTTTGGAGGGAAAAGCCTTTCCTCTTCATAAAGTTAGTTAGCCAGCACTTGCTCGCTTTGAACTGGCTCCGTGTTAGCCCTTTTTCTAAAGCTAACTGCATAGCCTGCACTTGGAGCAGTTCTGTCGTCACGGGCCGCTGTGCCGCTCACTGCTTAATCACATACTCGCTGAGCAGCTCTTCAATTTGTGGAAACCGACCCTGCTGCGGTACACTGAAGCCTTTGTGTGAATCTTTGCTGTCGACAATATTCTGCTTTTGTTTCCGCCAGTCCCGCACGCACGTGTTTCCGCCAGTCCCGCACGCCAGTCCCGCACGCCAGTCCCGAACGACTGCGATGCGGCCCGATTTCCATCCATTTCTGCACACGCGATGACTTTTCTTTTAAAAGCGGCGTCGTGGTGCACTCGTCGAGTCTTTGGAATCGGCCCTTCCATGCTGTTGATGTTATTGTATTACAAGATGACGAACTCCTCAGCACACGTACGAAGTGTGGCACATGGGAAACACAATGGAAGCAATGGCTAACGCGCCATGCCGACACACGTAGGGCGGCCATTTTTGAAATGCAGCATGGAGGGCGAAAATCTCATCATTATATGCTGGACTCAGTGATGTGTTGAAGGGCAAGGATCAAAACTTTCAGAGACAGAGGATGGGATGCGTAAGCTCTGAGAAGCCTCTGGGAGTGTGCATGTGACTGTATGCACAGTGCCAGAGGTCTGGGGGCAGCCTCATGGGATTGAAAGGAGGGTAGTGGAGGCCAATTGTGCGATCAAGAAGAGTATAAGCCGGCAGGGTATACAGCTCGAATACAGCGTAATGGAAGTGAACCAAGACATGTACGAGCCCGGCGCTCATCCCTTTGCACAGGATGGCATTCACTACAGTGGTGTGACGGGCAGGAGGGTCGGTAATAGGATGGGCCTCAAGCCACAGCTTCTTTAGGGGGGCCCAGAGCCCTGAGGCCAACAGTGTAGCCAAAGACGGTTCTAAAGGGGCACAAATATTCAAGCCATGTGGAGTCCGTGGAAGAAGAAATCGACGTAAGCATAGGGGCTGAGCTAAGTCAGACGTAGGCTATATTGAATTGATCTGAATTGAATTTTATTGGTCACACTTTTTACAAAAAATTTGCATACACTGCGTGGACCCATAGCCATAGGCTAGTTTGGGTCCAAAAAAGAAAGTTTTTATGAAGGCACTTTGGAAAAGTTTAACTAAAAAAGTTATACAATATCAATAAAGAATTAACTAAAGTTTTTACAATCTAATGTAATAAAGAATCTGCAAAGAAACATTACAGTGCATGAAATAACCGCACTAAACCGTTACAATGCACGAGAGAATGAAAACGGAATAAACACCTACTTACATATTGAAATCAATATTATTCAATCAATATTTTTTATTCAATCAATATTATATTAACATGCAGGATGGCAGGAATAGGTTAAAGTGGGAAGAGATAGAACAGCAGTTGAGGCAGGAGGAGCTGATGGTATATGGATTTGTGAAGACACATCTTCGGGACCAGGAGCAACCACCTTGCAATCTGTACTACGCATGGGAATATTGCGATAGAACAGAAGGCAGCAAAAAGGGGGGTGGAATTGGTGCATTCATACATAAAAGTATGGGTTGGCAAAGAGTCAAGCAGGAATGCATGGATCATTTATGGTTACGAGGGAAAGTAGCTGGGCAGATGACACTCCTTGGTTTGGTGTACTTGTGAACAGGAGCAAAGGCCAGAGAGGAAAACCAGGCAATGCTGGAGTGTATATCACAGGACATTGAGGAATTAGAAGGAGAGTGTGAGGTAATTATACTAGGAGATATGAATGCACACATAGAAGATATATATATGGGTATACTGACTCAACAGGCAGAATGATGGAAGTTTCCTCGGTCGTTTATCGGCTCGCCAACATGAAAGGCAAACCGAGCGGCAGACCGGTGTATGTATGAGACTTGAAACGCTATGTGTCACGGGAGGAGCACGAGGACTACAGTCAGTTCCCCTCCAGGCTACAGGCAGCGGGTGTAATCGCTTGACATCGAGTGAGGAACTCGGAATCGCGTTACTTCCTATGTACCAGGCAGAGACAACTCTCCACGGCAGGCCGCGTTTGATATGTTCGACGCGAGGTGCAAGGGTTCAACACACGTTTGATTGTTAACCTGTCCTTTTTTCTGTGTCGACTTTCACCAAGCAGATGGAGAGTCGAAAGGAAAAGAGGTGCCGCCGGAACAGCTCGGAAAGAAAACCGTTCCTCTCGCAGGATCACCCCAAACAACATACATGTCGTCATCACGGCCCCACCCAAAAAGCAACGCCACTTCCAACCTACTCCATCGCCCTCATCATCAGGCCTTTACGCAAGAGGCGCCAGGGTGACCAGCCACCAGCCCAGCCGAAAGAGCCAGCCGCCTCGAAGCCGCTATCACAAGCACATGCCTACTTAGCCGACCCGCGGTTTTCCGGCACCCTTGGCCTCTGCTACCTCGAGGCCGTAGCGTAGCACACCAAAGATGGGACTCACGAGCCCGCCAGACCAGCGGAGCTGTGACCCGATGCGGCAGCCCAGACCATGCCGGAGAGGACGGCCTGAGCCAGTGCTGAATGGGACCGTAACAAACTGGCAACTCTCAGTCTGAGTAGCGGGAGTCAACAGGGTGCTGTCTGGACCAGAGTGACAGTAACGGCGGCGAAAGCGACAGCAGTGGCGGAGGAGGTGACAGCGGTGGCGATAACTGGCCATGACGCAAGTGGGTACGGCAGCAGTGGTGGTGGCTACTTTGGATGCAGCGACAAGTGTGGGCACCGGCTGCACCCACAGCAGAGGGCCAACCGCAAGAGGGCATAGATTTAGACCCTCTGTCCTAGCCTTTCTCAATGATGAATAACAAAGTATTCTTATGTAGCAATCTGTGTCCTTCGGGGGCCTTATGAAAGGAGGGGGGGAGCACGTGCGCCTAGCCACTCACTCTCTTTTACGGCAGCGTGAAATGAAAGCCTAGTTGCAGGAACACTCCCACGGCCGGCGCTCGCGATCCCCCTTTCTTGGCGCGTGGGACGGGTCTCCCCTCCCTCAGTAAGAAAAGGTATTATTCTTGTTAGAGAAAGGGAAATCGGGTCAGTGAAGAAAACTAGCGTGCAGACAGCCGCTCACTCGCTCTGACACCGGCCAGGAACGAAGGAGGTCAAACCCGCAACCCCCTGCGAGCCGAGGACGTCAACGACCAAGGAGTAAGTGTCTACGCTTGCTTCTGTACTATCTCCTCGCGAAATTTGTGTGCTATTTCTAAGGCCTAGCAATAAAGTGTTGTTGTTGACCTAGCCTGCTGGCTTATTCGCCCGAACCCGTGTAGATGCAATGAGACTAGCTACGGATAGGGGACGTTAATCATGCACGGTACGACTGTGTGCAGCTGAAACATTAGCTAGGCTTCTGCATCAGCCGTACATAGAAAGGACCCCCATCAGACTCGACTGCTAATGTGAAACACGCGCACATAGGCTTTTCTTTTTTTTTAATGCAAATGTATTTCTTAGTTAGGCTACGTCAGGCATACGTAGCTGTCCGGGCCGGCAGGCATTATCTCTCCTCTCTCACTCCCTCCCCTATGGCAACAGCTGCGGGTGTGCATCCTTGCCCCTTGCAACCAGAGCATTTGGTGCAAGAGTGTAGAAGAGGGTAGGTGCACTGCTTCACTGCTCCTTTTGCCATCGCCTTGCAGATGTCGGTGAAGGTCTGATGGCAATGGTACCCTCTCTCGGCGCAAGAAATGCATTTGCATTTCCTCCCAATTCCCCCCCCCCCCCCCCCCCCTTCAGGAAGGTGGGGGCAATTTTTTTTCCACTTTGTATCACGTCGTAAGTTTTTTCTGCCACTTCTTTGGGGAGTGGCATTCTGAGATATTGGCACTCCGAAATAAAACCAACTCGTACAACTTGTGTTCAACCAACGAATAATGATAACTATCACACTAAGTGCTGCTAGATTCTTCTGCACTAATGTGCATGTGATATGGCAAGACAGAAAATGCAGTGATTGCGAAGAAAGTTGGTGCAGTAGAGGTTTTTGCTCCACTTCTACAAAGGCCATGCAAGTGGTACCAGCGCATCTAGCTACTGCATATAACTCTTTAAAGAAGCCTTTGGAAGCTGAATATGTAGCTCCTTGGATACAGGGCCCAGTGAGAATGATAAATTGCCCAAGCAAAAACAATTATGTGCAAAAATCACTGAAATACCTCCACATCTCCAACGCTTACTTAAGGGAGCATTAGATTACGTTATCTAGAGAAACTTTGAGGAAGACAGCATGCGTGACGGCACAATTCACATTGTTGTCCAGGGTTCAATGCAACACCGTCTGGCGAGGGGCGTTTCTTGCAAATAAAGGAACACTCTCCAAAGTTGCAATGAAAAAGAACTTATGACGTTTCAAGACCCCTACGGGTCTCTTCTTCACATACAAGTCTTGGACTTAAACCTGGGCTTTGTTCTGAACATCAAAAAGATGACGGGCTGCGGAGCAAGCTGTCCTCCAAGTTGAGTTGATTCGCGACTAAGCAAGGACTCAGGCTATCGGCGCGCCATCGAAACTTTCGCGAGCGAAAACAGTGAACATTGCGCTGCACGAGAAACTTGCATTAAAATGTTAACAAAATGAAAATATCGTTATCCGGCCTACCAATAAAGGCAACACTACGGTTGTACTGAACAAGAATGACTACAAGAAAAAAATGTCAACTCTTCTTCAAGATAAGACTACCTGTGCCAAGTTGAATCGAGACTCAACAAAGAAGGTACAATCCGGGCTTCAAAAGCTGCTTACTGAAGCTTTCAAGTTTGTCCCTCCCGAAAAGGAAAAGCTTTATTTTCATTTCTTGTGCCAAAATTGGGTCTGCCCCAGCAATACACTGGGTATCAATTGTACACAAGCCCAACACACCTCTACGGACAATTGTTGACATTACAAGATCCCTGCTTCAGAAACTATCGAACTATCTGCATCAGGTGCTGCGACCATTCGTCGGGTACTCTTTTTCGTATGTGAAGGACTCGGCACAGTTTGTTGAAATTGTGAAAGAAACTTCCTTGGACGATGGAAATCAGTTGGTTTCATTTGACGTACAATAAATGTTCACCTCAGTACCAGTAGGTATTGTTATGGAATGCTGAACTCTATTGAACGGTCCATTGAATTCACCATATAAGAAGAAAGCAATGGGCAAATGGCTTTCTTTGACCTACTTGTTCAGTGCTCGTTCGAAAACGGTGTACAGGAAGCCCACACATTCGGGCAGGTACCTCAGCTTTGCCTTGGCGTATCCCCATTGGCCACATGTGCTCCGTGGTGGCTTCCCTCTTCAGGCGAGAGCACTGGCTTTGCTCAGACGACTCAATGAGAAGGTGCGAATGCGATAAAGTAAAGCATGACCTCACAAACAACGGCTACTCTTGGCAACTACTAAGTCAACAGGAACATCGCTTCAGAGAACCTCCTAAAAATAGTACAACCGACTGCAAGAAAACCGCACCCATTCCTTATGCTTCTGGCGTAAACGAAACCCTCGTAAGAATTTTCAGGAGCTATGACGTACAAGTAGCACAGGTGCCCCAGCACGAGTTGAGAAGCCAGCTGGGTCAAAAGACCCTATGAACGCTATCCAGGAGTGGCATCTAAGATACCCTGTCATAGTGCCCCGCATCCTACATAGAAGAAACAGGCAACTGCAAACGATGCAAGAAGCAGCACCAAAATGACGTAGCTAAAACATACTGCTACAAACACACCAGCTGAACATCATTTTAACACAGGACACAGCATTGATCCATGTTATCTCGCCTCCTTTTGGAATAATTATCAATCCAGTCGACACCCCATACACTTAATTCGACACGTGGAAATCTACTCGATACTTACACCAGATCATAGCGTCTCTAAGCATATAGAGACAGGGCCTAAATTCTTTCGCTTGTATATGAACAAGAGACCCTCTCAAAACGTCATCAATTCTTTTTTTGCAACTTTGACGAGTATTTGTTTATTTGCTAGAAATTCACAATGTACAATGACAACCGCTACCTGATGTTGACCGACAGTTTTATTTCATGGTGGGTTCTCAAAGGCCAAGTTTTGGAGCAGCACCAGAGCAGCTTCTCGCATTTGTAGCAGGGATGCCGCAGCTCTAAAAACGTAGCCCATCGGAGCAATTGTATGTAGCATTTCCATCACTGATTCCCATAAGTATCTCCTGTATGGCCCAAATTGGTGCAATGCTGGAACCCATAGCACACGCACCACAAAAGCTATAGAGTTTCAGTTCAAAGTCCCGTGAAAGATGAAAGCAAAGTGATAACCTGATTTATGACATCCTTGTTTGTGGTGACTGCATTTTCTTTGTGACAACCTACAATATGGCTGAAAATCGGGCGAAATTTTGTAGGTAGTCTCAAATTTCGGTTCTAGCTGTGCCTTTATTGAACAGAAATTTGGTGAGCGAATTTAGTCATGGAGCACGCAGACAACTTTACGTAGTTGGTAGCATAGAAGAAGGTAACTGCAAGCAGCCAGTAAAAAAAGATATGAATACTTCAAAACAAGATCTAGCAGTACACCCCCTAAAAAAGATCTAGTACTTGTGATAAATGTGCTTGTTCCGATTGCTCTTGCTGGTACTTTGTGCTCTTGTCAAGCTTTACAATAAGACTTAAAAAAATATGTGGCAGATCACTGCAGCACTAGCTTTTGTGGTTAACGACTGTGCCATGGTGTGCAGCTTCTTACATTACCAGCATTACTTTACTAAAGGGTGTTAAGTTTGAAAAGTGGTTAGCACTGGTTACTGGCTGGCTTCTCAGTGACGGTCGCTCATGGCAAAGGTGACCGGCGATATGACGCGAACACTTTGTTGAGTTTGCAGACCTCTCACCAAATCGGTTCGCTTTCGTGTAACATTGGTAACTCAATAAGTGTTTGGCACACACTCACCCCCATGGGAATGTCCGTGTTGGAATGCGAAGATGCCGACCAGGTTGACGAGGAAACCCAGCACGGAAACGATGAAGAGGCGCTCATGTTTCACCTCAGGTGGTTCAATGGCTCTCTGGAAAAGCACCCATCTTTTGAACAAAAGTTCCATACAAGGGCACCCCACTCGCAATCTTTTCAAGCAGAGATGGTTGCTTTGCTATGATAGCGCATCAAACATACCGGTGCACTCGCAAGCGGCGCGCCAAAAACCACATCAGTGCGATGGAACAATACCGACTTTTGGTCAACTGTGCACGCAAAGGGATCCAAACTTGTTGAATCATGGCCGAAAATTGATCTATATTGGCTAGAAAAAATGCACTTTCTGGGCTTCAGCGCGGCGAAGTGTATGTCCCACTGTGCAGGAGTTGGATATATGGGTGCACCGGTCCCTACTTTTGCATGGAAAATTCAAGAAGATTTCTGAACAGTCCGATATATCTAGGATCGACTGTATAAGGTGATGGTGCAGCTTGAAAACTTGAGACGTGTGTGCCGATATAATGTCGCATGCAATAAAGTAAACAAGTTTGTAAAAGAACTGTTGAACACAAACGTTTATGGGCATGTGTAGTGCAACCGTTTGACCTATTCTGTTCATTTTTGTGTACTATATGTTTATATGCCCACATTCGATAAACCAGCAAACAGTGTTAATGGTTTACGTGCAACAATGCCTTTTGATGTGGCAGTTCTGATAGGAAAGATAACGCTGTGATGTGAGCAGTGCAAACGAGTGGCTGTTGCAAAAACATTTGAGTTGTAGTAAAGCGATCATCCTGTCTACCATGTTTCCTCCGTCTTTTTGCGCTGTGTTTCCCAGGCTGAACTGAGATCTTGCTGTAAGAAAAAAATGTGCTGGGCATGCACGACATAGTATGCGCAAATGTGCAGGCTGGCAAGCCCTCTATCTTGGCTTGATTTATACCACTGAGAATTTCGCACATCTGTCTTCTCACTTTGTACCTGTGTGTCATTTTAGGGATGCAAAAGAAGGATTATCCCTGTGGCTTAGCCAGATTGGCTCTCATATAGACTTTGCAAGGAAAGGTGCATGCATCACAGAACAACTGTCACTTCATTTTTTAAAGTTGCAGGCAAAAGGGGCCATGTGCGCCCAATATAAAGCTGGAATGTACATACTCAAAGCCATGTTGGAAACTACGAGAAAACCTCAACTCCAATGAACACACAGAACAGGCACAAACTTACAGATGTGTAATGCACGTCACACTTTGCCAGATGAAGACTGCATTTGCACTCAAGTCTAATGCAGATGCATGTCATTTATTATAGGCACGTTTCTCTGGATAGGATTCAGTAAAATATTTCCACAAATCAGTGCCTTCAAATGCTATTTTTTTAGAAAGATTGCTTATTGGGCTGATTAGCCTAAAATCATAACTTGTCACAACCGTCTCATCAGTTTTTTTTAGACTATCTTGTCTTTCGTGCTCTTCAACTGCTCTTGTGTATTCTTATTCTTTCTTTTGTTTACTTTTGCTTTGTTAAATGTCTCAATGCCTCACCCTGTCCAACACACGACCTGCTCCACCCAGTGGACATGCACTAAAAAGCTGTCACTGTGGTGAGCAAAATGCAAAACTTGCAAGTTTTTCTAAACAATGTTTGTTCCAGCAGTAACACGGCAACTACCAAAATCTGTTAAAATCCATCGACGTAACACTCTCCTAGGGAGTTCAACGAAAATGAAGTTATGCCCAAGTCATACAGCAATTTTACAAGCTTTGGACAGAAGCCACAAGGGGCCCATTAGAAATTGCCGCACCTTCTCCGCATGCAAGATTCTGCGTCTAATACTTTTGAAAACATTTTCGTTCACACGTGTGATTATGTAAACTGAAAAAAAAAAAAAAATGCTTTGGCTTTTATCACAGACGCTTACACCTAGGAGCAACTTGGCAGTAATGCTGACAGGAATGCTAGTAACACTACGTTTGTTTTGGTACGCGTTTTCTCTACGATCGCTGATTGTCAAACACACTGCAAGTTCTCGGCGAGCTCTTTTAAGTTGCTCTACCCGGTAGATCACAATGTTCTTAACAATATCAGATTAGCACAGCTTTTGCAATCAGTATGTGAAGCCTTGTTGCAGATGGGCCACATAACAGTTTGCAAGTAGTGCCGGCACGACTACCAGCATCGATGAAAAATGAAGAAAACCTGCATCAACCACTGCTATGAATTCAAGCAGTGCTGAAGGAACATAACAATAAGGATCTAACAAGCTGCAGAGATGTAAACGCCACGGCGTGTATGGATAGGATGGCCGGCACAGACTTTGAGAAACTTTTTCGAAATGACGACACGATGGCTTTGGCGAGGCATGGTGTGGAGGGTGCATGCACTTGTAAGCGTATTGCCTTTTCGTTAAACGCACATTATGGGCAGATTATGCGGAGAAAGAACATTTAATAGTTATAAGGTTTATTACTGCATTGACTGTGGCTGTTTTGTGTTTTCAGTTTTTTTCTGTAACTCTAGATTACTGGGGAGAGACTACTCCCTTATGCCGTTAAGGGAGATCAGTGAACTCCCTTTGCGAAAAGCTTCGCTTAACTTCCTTGACATAAGAGAGACCGTGTGATATAAAGTGCATCTCTGTTGTCCTAAAGATGAAGGAGTTGAACGGAGTTCATAAGTACCAAGGCAGGGTTCGCACAAGTTTCCAAAGCGAGAATTGAAGGATTTTCAAGGACTTTCCCGTACCTGTCAAAGGTAACTTTCTTGACGTAAAAGAGACTGTGTGACATGGAGTGCATTTCTGTTATCGTAAAGACAAAGGAGATAAATGAAGTTCACGAGTACCAAGGCAGGGTTCGTACAGATTTCCAAAGCGAGAATTAAAGACTATTCAAGGACTTTCCAGGACCTGTCACAGGTAACTTCCTTGACGTAAGATAGACCGTGTGACACGGTAGTGCAACTCTGTTGTCGAATAGACGAAGGAGTTAAACGGAGTTCACAAGCACCAAGGCAAGGTTCGTACAGGTTTCCAAAGCGAAAATTCAAGAATATTAAAGGACTTTATGGGACCTGTCACAGGTTTTTCAAGAACTACAACTACATGCAATGTTGAAAATTTCTTAGTCAAAATTTTCAAAATTGACTCATTTTTATTGAACTTATATAGTATGTGCATACTGCGACTATAACAAACATGTCGAGTCTGCACTTCAATTCAGTTTAGCTTCACTAGCTTCACCGCTCGCAAAAACAGGAAAGAGCCAGCACCGAAGAGCATTAAGGGTCTCTCACTTAGTTTGTTTGTTGTTTGACGCAGCAAAACTTTATTCCTCGTGCAGATTTGGAAAACCAAGCCATATCAACTACAACTAAACTATTGTTTTAGAAATGGAGAGTTGGTTAGGTCGATGCCGATCCATACCCGCCAAGTTCAAGGATTCAAAATCTGGGTGATTTCCGCAAAAGAAAGAGAGTGGTGTCGCGCTGATTTATTTGCCCCCTTTCCTTTCTGCACCAAAATAAAAACAACGCTGAAAAAACGGGGTGGAGGGGAGTCTGCAAACATTTGGAGTGACTGAACCCCTGAGGGTAGGGTTTCCCAACAACAGTAACGAATGCGAGTCTCAAAAGGGAGCAAACATACTACTCGTATCTCTCAAAATTTACAACTTCAAAACAATTAGCAAAATCTACTTCTGTTAAAAGAACTCCCGTATGTCTTCTTGGGACATGCGCGAATGAATGGGACGACGCAGCCGGTTGCCCGGAAAGCATGGGTTGGAAATTCGCCTAAGGCTGATTGAAAACTAAACCACTATGTATAGTCCAAGTACCCAGATCAACAGGAACAACATTACTTATTCTTTAGAAAGAAACACCAAAATGTTCTTAGTGTTTTTTACATTTTTATCCCCTATACCACTGCGTTGCTGCGTCTGCAACCGCGGTTTTGCAAGCGGCTGTTGCAGAAACCAGTAGTTTCATTTTCAATCCACGTGCGCTAGCTGTGCACGTACAGCTGAACCCCTTTATAACAGACATGCTCCGGGCAGCAATTCTTCTTTTTTATATGATATGCCTTTTATAAGCATGGGACCGCGTATGCACTTTCTTATGGACCCATATTTTACTATAGGCTCACTGGTGTCTCTTTAACCATGTCTCAGTGTCTGTTATAAAGGGGTTCGGCTGTACCTTCAAAACCATGTCGTTTTTTGCTATCTATGATCACATCTGCCCTAGTTTTGTTTGTCCGCAGCATTTGTGAAACGCAACGTTGCTTTAACTGGTCGAGCATTGAAGGCGTGCGATTTCCGGAGCTCTCTAACGCCGTCCTCACACATGATCCTACCAAGAACGACCACGGTATCGTCCACAGCGGTTGTGGCAAATGATAACCGCAGTTCTGACAGTGCGTAACAAAGTATCAGTGGGAGACAACCTTGATATAAAAAATTTTTCCCACAGGCAATCTAGAAAGTTTGCCCAAGATTTCGTCATTTTGGCACGAGCATGCATATTCCGTGGGTGCCCTGCCGCCGACAACGTGCGAAGCAGCCGCGGCACGCACAGCGGACAAGGCGAGAGGGAGTGCTCGTTATTAGGAGACTGTGAATGCGAGATGGGCCTGCGCTCCACGAGCCAGTGCTGCCGCTGTTCTTGCGGCCACACGCGCATGCGCGAATGTGCGCTACTCCTCCAAACCAAAATAAAAAAAAAACTACTTCTGCGTTGGCAGTGCCACGCTATTAGTTCGCGTTGCATATGTGGGAATATGAAGGGCACCTTACCGAAAAGTTTTCCACGGTATTTGTGTCGTTTTCTCTTCGCTTTTGATGCTATGCACGCGCGCATAGTTTGGCCCCCGACAACGCGCAACTTAGCTTTTTTTTTTTCTTTTTTCGAAATGCGGAGAACTACGCCGCCACCATCGAGGGAATCTATGATTATGCGCTGATGGAAACTCTTCGAGACCACGATGATGATGGATCTTCGGAGGTCGACTCGTCACGTGCTTCAGTCTTGCTCCGCGAGTTCGCAGGCTGGTAGCTTGCACAATTAGCAGATTAGTACTGGTAACACGACAGTGCGTTGAAAGCAATGCAATGAACGCGAATAGCAAAAATTGTATAGTTATAAGAAGTAACTTAAGGCTGGTAGCCAACTCTTTTGGATCAGATATCGCGGAACTTCCACAAAACGCTGGTGTGAGCAAATACGGCCACTCAAGGAAAAAGTGCTCTTTCACACAGTCCCTTCGCCTTCGTGTCGAAAGCCCATAGCTGATACTTGCCGAGATAGCATGCACGCCAGCGATCGTGACCGTCCTTAAACTCAAAGTTCATTGTTACTACTTGAGCGACCCCCCCCCCCCTACTTGTTTTCTTTTTTTTTGCTCAATAAAGCTAGCAGTTTCCTTTCTGTTTGAGCGTTCGACGGCAGTTCTAACACACCGGGGATGTTATCTTATGCGCCTTCGAGGCGATAGAGATGGGCCAGCTCATTTTACCTGAGCTTCAGCAGCGCTCGTGCGCCTTTACTCAGCCAAGAAAGTTACGACGCGTGGGCGCATGTTATGAATTTAACTTGACACGAAACATGGCGGCGACAGCGAGAACCCACTGAGTGTACATACAATTGCTATGGCAATAGTAGCGCAGTTTTTTACCACTAAATGAGTGCTTTGGGTTAGCTCTGCCTTTAGTCCCCTTTCGTTTGATTTGTGCATTTATTTTCCGAATTTTCGTACTAAACCTCTATATAACGAAATTCTCTTTATAACAAAAATTTCCAGAAATTAATCCATTTCGTTATATAAAGGATTAACTGTATGCCTGCACAGATATTTATTTGAAAAAGAATTGTGTCAATGTGGTAAATGAATCATCGCTCACAAATTTGTAAATGTTTATGACAGCGAGTGCTCGAAAAGGGCAAGAACTTGGTGCCTTTTGTTTTATGTATTGCAAGAATGAAGCCAAGACAAAACAGTGCAGGCGCCACAATGATTTTCCAAAAGCATCGTAAACAGATACTGATTCATGAATCAGTATCCTCCCGATTCATGAATGTTTTTTGTGCAACACACACAAGAGACAGACACCACGAGTGCAATCGTATCCACCTGTCTCTGTGTGTCTACCAAGTCAGTACCAACACACCCGATTGTCAGTGCTCTAGATACCGTCTCACCTCAACAGCCTCGGAGAAGATGAAGAATGCAATGAAGAGCAGGAAGAGGCCATTGACAAATCCTGCAAGAACTTCTGCACGCACGTACCTGCACAAAACATGGCTGTCTCACACTGATGGCCAAACTAACACTATAGGCCCAGGAGGCATACTAAAAAAAATCACTACTTTTCTAGAAGTCTGTTGATATTACATTTGGTAGTTTACTACTAGAAGTTGTGCTTCCTCAGAAGTTACTACTAGAAGTTGTGCTTCCTCAGAAGTTACTACTAGAAGTTGTGCTTTCATCTCAGAATTACAGAGTCAGTTTCTCGGATTGACATCATGGATTTTCTTGCCTGTGGCTTGTCCTATTTCCGCAAACGTTCCGATTCTCAAGTTTATTTTGGCTTCCTCAAAAGAGAACATATCAGCATAAATAATTGAATAGACTCCATCAGACAGTCATAATCCATGCCTCCTCTCAGGGTAGCAGTTTATTTCAGCATTTTTAAAACATAAAAGCATAATTATAACACAGCTAATTATTTCTTGTCAGCATTTTTTGAATTAAATCAATTCACTTTCTCGCTTATGAGCAGTGTTCGATTGTGAAAGGAGGACTGGGCACAACCAGAATGGAGCACGTCGAGCGTGGCTGTTTACATGCTTCTTTTGCACTCGTGGGGAAAGCATGTGCGCCAACAGCCCTTTCCCTTTTACAGTAGCGCAATACCCTAGCTGCGAGGGCATGCCTGTCGCTTCGAGAAACGAGTCAATGAAGCCTCTTGTGAATGGATGGGGCACCCCAGTTGCCAGCGCTTGCAATTCCTCTTTCCCGGCTCAAGGAACTGGTCTACCCTTCTTCAGCGAAGGAACGAACTCTCGTCAGGGAGAAGGAAACCGAGACGGTGGAAAAAACTAGCGTGCTGACGGCCGGACGCGCTCTCTGGCACCGGCGACAAAGCAGGAAGAATGACCCCCGGGACTCCCTGTGAGCCAAGGGCAGCAACGACTGAGGTGTAAGCGCCTACCCTTTTGTTATCTGCTTAGAGCCGAAGTCCCTCTACACTACATTCCCAAGTTATTGCTACCGTAGCAATAAAGTGTTGTTTTGTTAACCTAGCTTGTTGCCTTATTCGCCCAAACCCCTTCCCGTAGCGCGATGACACTCTACGGGAAGGGGACGTTAATAGTGGACGGTACGACTGTGTGCGGCTGAGACATTAGCAAGGCTTCTGCGTCAGCCGTACATAGGATGGACCCCCACACACTAAACTCTGTTCATCGCAGAATACTAACGAACAACTGGCCAGTCTCACTTGTTGACTAGCACTACTGAAGTGATACACTATTTACAGTTAAAGAGGCCCGATGCTGGATAAGGTCATACTCAAGAAAAATTATTTTTTGAAAATTTTATTGTTCGCACACATTAGTCTAAAGCATCTGCAATGGCTTAGCCAAGTCATAACCCAGCCTCCTTGCAAGAACAAACGAAACTCTAAGACTGTCTTCAGGGCTGCTGCCATGCAGCACGTGCAACTCTGACTTCGTAGTTCCAACCTTGAGTGCACCAGGAGGACCAATGCAAGTGCTGAGGCGTCAGGCCTGTGGTGTGTCGACAAAGCCAACTCATCTGACAATATGTGCAAGCAAACTGTTTTCCATGTAGCAGAAAGACCTCAATGAAACCTTTTCCAAGGGGACCACAGGAAAAAAAAAATTACAATTCAGAAAAAGTCGCCACCTTCCACAATGCAAATAGTTTTAGATAACAAAAAAAAATGTTTTTTCCAAGCTGGCGCACTCCTCCCAGAAAGTTTGCGTGGAAGCGAGCTAGTACGTGTCCTGAAACAATGTGCATTGGGTCTAGTTGGTACGACATTGAAACTAAATTGAAGCTGCACGAGTTGACAATACACTGCTGGACATCGCCTTTGCATATTCACCACTGAATAGGCAGTAACTAAATAGCCTCAAGAAAAGCCCACCTTCTTGCCACAAGATGTGCACCTTCTCACACGCCAGCTGCAAATGCGCGGCCACTTGTTATTAATGCGTGTGCATGTGCAAGTGCACTAAATCTGCTGGGGGTGCTTATAACCCTCTGTGAAGTTGTTTGCACAAGCACTGTGTATTATGCTGTGTGTTTTATTAGCACCACATAAGATTATTTGTCATACTATTTTAAATGCACAGATTTACCTTGCAGAGGTATACCTTATGATGTGGACTGAGGAATGAAAACCACCGTGGCTCAGTGGTGGTGGTCACAAGTTGAGATCCTGCCGGTGACAATTTTTTGTTCACTTTTTTTTTCTCACATTTACATTGCAATTGCTTTTAACAACATCCCCAATACTTTTCTTGGCATCATTGTATATTAGTGCTCATTAATATTGCCACATTAAATAAGCAGCGCCAAGAGAACAACGAAGAACACGTGCAGCGGGAGAAGACGACGAGGTTCTCTTCCGATCAGTTTGCCAGTGTTCTGATACAATTAAAGTGAGTTTCCTGGATTCGACTGCTGCTGTTTCTGCATTGTGACACTGGTGGAGGCACTGGGTACATGTTCGGGACGCCTGACAACAGCCCCGCATCTGGTCAAGAAAGACTTCCGCGCATCGACACCCCCGTTCACCGCAGCAGCCGGCGCCTGTTAGGCCTCAGCCCGGAGTTTGGTCCATTGCCGGAAAGCGTGACTGTGCCAGAAAGCATGACGGCGCCTGGAAGCACCGACCCCAACATGTCCAGCCCAAGCACGACACAGGTGACTGTTTTGAACCCTCGACTTCCGGTTGACTTCCACGGAAACGCATATGAGGATGCACATGACTGGCTCGAGGAATTCGAGCACACAGCGAATGTTAACGGTTGGACCACCACACAGAAATTGGAATACGTTTATTTTCCGCTTCAAGACGGAGCCCGAACGTGGTTCACGAATCGCGTGTGGTCGTCTTGGGACGAGTTCCGTCAGAAGTTTCTCGACACGTTCGCGAGCACTGAAAGACGAGAAATTGCACAGCGTCTCCTCGAGTCACGGATTCAGAAACCAAATGAATCCGTTACGATGTTTGTTGAGGACATGGCGCGGCTATTTCGTCGAGCAGATCCTAATATGCCCGAAGCCAAAAAGGTTAGCCACCTCATGCGGGGCATTAAGGAGCAGCTGTTCGCTGGCCTCGTACGAAACCCGCCTACAAGTGTGGATCAATTCTCCAAGGAGGCGACATCTATCGAACGCGCACTGCATCTACGTTATCGCCAGTATGACCGCCCAACCCACAGTGCACCGATCAGCGTGGCAGCCACTACCACAGCAACAACACCCGACGAAGGTTCTTTGCGCCAACTAATACGAGAAATCGTACAAGAAGAGGTCAAGAAACTCGTCCCCAAACCGAACGACTGCGCGATCGCCTCAGTAACGGAAGTTGTACGCCAGGAGATCAGGCAAGCGCTCTCGCTTCCTGAGCCGAACACGAGCACTCCCAGGGCAAGCTATGCAGACGTAGTCCGCCGACAGCCAGCGAACGTGCCGACACCACATCAGTACCACCAGCAACATCCACCGACAACGCCTTGGTACTACAGAGAAACTTCGATGCCGATGCGGCCACCACTTCGCAAAACTGACATCTGGCGTACCCCTGATCATAGGCCCCTGTGCTTTCACTGTGGGGAAGCAGGCCACATCGTTCGGTATTGCCCGTATCGCGCCGCAGGGTACCAAGGGTTTCCTTCTACGTTTCCTCGGCGCCATTTCAACGGAACACCTGACGTCGACACGAATGTCATGACCCCGCGGGATGTTCCTCCTGGGTTTCGGTCACGCTCACCCTCTCCTGGGCGTTATTCTCCATCTTCTAGACGGAGCACCACTGACATGCCAAGAGGGAGATCTCCTAGTCCACGCCGGGGAAACTAAAAGCAGCGACCTCGGGGGGGAAGGTTGCGAATCGTCGAAGTGCTGAAAATCTCCCATTACTGCCGAGCGAAGAGAGACACATTTTCAATGAATCGACGAAGGATGGGGTTGTTACTGCCGAAGTTGCAATTACGATTGACGGACATGACGTCATGGCATTGGTCGACACTGGCGCGGACTTCTCAATAATGAGTGAGAGTCTGGCAGACACGCTCAGGAAGGTTAGAATGGAATGGACAGGACCGCAGATTAGAGGAGCTGGAGGGCAGCTACTCACACCTACCGGAAAGTGCACCGCAAGAATGAAGATAGGGGATGCATCCTTCGTCGCAACTTTTGTTATCCTTTGAGTGTTGCAAACAGGCAATCTTGGGGATGGATTTCTTGCGGGAATATGGTGCCATCATAAATATTCCGGACGGTGTACTGACCTTTTCAGCGGATCAAAGCGCAGCGCTACACCGAAAATCCCTACGAGTCATTGACGATGTGACCATACCTCCATTATCGTGCCGCCTTGTTTCAGTCACGCGCAGCGAGCAGAATACTGGAGAAGGAATCGCTGAACAAGTATTGACGCTCCTACTCTCTCGTGGTGTTGCAATTGCCAGAAGTATCGTCAATGTTGTGTGCGGTGAAGCAGAGGTTCTGTTGACGAATTTTACCAACGAGCGACGACACATTACACAAGGCACTACAGTTGCCTACTTCGACGAGATCACCGAAATCCGCGAGTGCTGTGTAGTACGACAGGACGAGCCGCAAGCCACGTCAGCCCCACCACCTATTGACGTAAGCTCGGATTTGTCACCAGCGCAGAGACAGCGTCTATTAGATCTTCTGCACCAGTTCAAAGACTGTTTTTCATCGACTTCGAGGGTCAGTCAAACGCCACTGACGAAACATCGGATAATAACGGAGGAGACGGCAAGGCCAATACGACAGAATCCATACCGCGTAGCACCGAAAGAGCGTGATATGTAGTGATTAGAATGAAGAGGAAAAAGGCACCTAATTTCTGTCTGCCTTCAGGCGACACGGCGCAGTGCCTTATAGGGGGTGGGGGGAAGGAGGGATAAAAAGAATAGAAGGAAAGTAGAAGCAGAAGAAGACAGCCAACGAGAGGAAAAAAGAAAGAGATAGGAAAGTGGGGATCCGGTCGAAGCAGTCCA